TGTAACTTTTCACTGAAATTGAATATGGCAAATCGCACACACGTTTTCTTAGCGCTTTGGCCCCGAAAACGGAGGAACACATTCAATAAGCCAAAAAAATTCGCTTTAACACGTAACATTCAAAATGTGATTCGGGTGCTCGGATTTAGAAGTCGTGAAAAATTCGAAAATTAATTTTTTTTCAAAAATGTTGGTATAGTCTGATAGCCAGTCCTATAAGCTTTAATTTGATATTGGGGTTTAGATATCTACAGTTTAAACCAGACGCGCTACATCGCCTGCATGCGAGACACCCCTGAAGGTGCACGGTAACCTTAATTGAAGAGTCCCCTTCTTCATATTACTTGTTCTTACTTATTCGGTAAGACACAAAAATACTACACTGCATGTTTTAACAACGTCTGCTGCATGTACATAGGCAGTTTTGACTGTTCTTAAAACAATTTAAATGTAAGAAATCTGATTGCTGTCTTTAGCATGGACAGATTTCAAGTCGAGAGCTAAGTTAAAGTTATATCCCTTACTTGTAACTTCAACAGTGCCACCACTCTCATGAAACAGGACATTTTAATGGACAGAAATTCTTATAATTATCTCTTGCAGGTACAGGGAAACATGCATTTCCATAAGACTCAGGCAACCATATACACCTGCCATAACATTATATGTTGGAATATAGATCAGAGATAAGATCTACCACATCAGAGATAGGACATACAAACCCATAGACAAAATTTCATAAAGTCTGTTTGGCTTCTTCTTTAGGCCTGAATAACATTCTATAGAGACATGTCTAGCATCCAAAAAAATTTTGTTTCATAAAAATAGTGAAATCCCTATTTCTTACCAGCCTCCTTCGTTTGCTTAAAAATAGCTGTACTGTTTGGTCCATCCCCAACAAAAGTGAATGCCAATATTTGAAATTCATATTCTGTAAATTTACCAAGCCCAGTGACCTCTTGAGTGCGAGTTGCCTGATCGTTAATGGGCTGCATGCTTGCTGGCCCTGAAATGCCTCTCTTTTTGTAGAACAATTTATATCCTGTAATGTCTCCATTTCTGGAGTCTTCTGGTGGTAACTGCCAGGATGCTGTTATACTAGTAGAAGAGGTTGCAGTTAGAGTAAAGCCACCAGGAGGCTGTGAAGGAACTGCAATTGAGAAATTGTAATAATCATAATGATAAACAAAATCATTGTGGTCATCGCCATCTCCTTATCATCATTAATGACTAACTTATACATAAAATTTTCCACTTTCAAATGGTGTTTATAATCTTTTTACACATACTTTAAAAGAATTGCCTTTTTTACATAATTTACTCAGTTAAATTCTGTTATACATTCAAAATGTTTTTTTTTTTCAATTAGCTAATTTACTGAGAGTATTTGCTAAAGTGGTGTTAAGGATCATATTGGGAATCTGATGATATTTCGTATATCATGTACATGCATACATTTTCATTTCACTTGAGAAAAATATACATGTATTTGGCCTTTTATTAAAGGCCATTACACTTTTAGAAGATAACACAAAGAGCTGTCCTAACCATCTTCGTTTGTTCTCTGAACAACCACAGAGCTATATGGTCCATCCCCAATAGAAGTAAAGGCCAACACTTGAAGTTCATATTCTTTGTACTTAGTAAGACCTGTGACATTTTTGTTGAACGTTGATTCACCGTTGATACAATCTTTTTACAAATAATTTAAAAAAGATTGCCCTTTTATACATATTTTACTCAGTTAAATTCTGTTAAATATCCGTTATGTTTTTATTTTTCAATTAGCTAATTCCCCGAAGGCATTTGCTAAAGTGGCCTTAAGGATCATATTGGGAATCTGATGATATTTTATATATTATGTACATATATACCTGGAGACATTTGCGTTTTTCATTTCACTTGAGAAAAATATACATTAATTTGGCCTTTTATTGAAATCCATGACACTTTTAGAAGATAACACAAAGAGCTGTCCTAACCATCTTCATTTGTTCTCTGCACAACCACAGAGGTATACGGTCCATCCCCAACAGAGGTAAACGCCAACACTCTAAATTCATATTCTTTGTACTTGTGAAGACCACTGACATTTTTCTTGAAAGTTGATCCACCGTTGATAGTAAGGATGATTCCTGACCCTGAAGAGTCTTTCCTTT